GCAAGCCCCGGGGCCTTTCTCCACTTGTGCTGTGGCCTCATCCTTACTTAGGCAATTGGGTTTGGGACTGCAGGGCAGGATGTAGCATTTATCCTTGTGAAACCCCATCTTGTTGCAAACGGTCTCTCTAGATCTTTTTGGCCAGCTCAGGGCAATGGCCCAATCATGCTGGTAATGTCAGATCGTGGTCTCAGCTCCAGCCCCTGATGAACAGCCTCATTCCCACAAACGTCTTAGCCAGAGGGCCACCCCAGCTGGCAGCTCATGTGCATCTGAGCTGAATCACCAGCGTCAGGCTTCAGAAGTCCAGGGTGTAGATGGTCCCCTGCAGCCAGGTCCAGTGGGAGACCACTGAGTTTGCAAACTCCTGCCCTTTGTACCTGCCACCACCTCTTCCTTGGCCTTAAGAACCCCAGATATTTTGACCAAGAGGATTCCCAAAGGTCTGTGGGTACCTGAGAACCTGAGCTCACTTGAGGAAAGAAGGGAAACCTATTTGGGACCCAGAACTACATATCTCATGGGACCCCATATAGGAACGTTCATCCCCATTTTTCAGGTAGGGAAACAACAATGGGATAAGGTTAGGCCATTAGAAATTCCAGGCCTGGGTCTTCCCTGGGGGCCCAGTGGTTAAGAATCTGCCTGCTAATGGAGGAGACATGGGTTTGATGATCCCACATGCTGGGAAACAACTAAGCTTGTGTGCCGTAACTACTGAGCCCTTGCTCTAGAGCAATAACAAAGACCCAGCCCAGCCAAAAATAAGTAAATAAAACAAAAAGAACTCCCAGGTCCAAGCGTGATTCCTTTCCAGTCTTATAGCCCTTCTAACTTCCTCTTAGAGCCAAGTTTGCTCCCTCCAAAATCAGGACCCTGTCCTACTCCCGGATCTAGCCTGGGTCTAGCAGTTCCAGATCCAGGAACCATTAGCAACAACTTCATTTACTGAGTCCCTACTGTGTGCCAGACACTGTTGTGAGTCCTTTGCTTGTATTATCTCTAACATCACATCACACTATGGGAAGATACAATCACCCCCCTTTTCTGCACAAGGAAACTGAGGTCCAGAAGTGACTTGTCCAAGGCCACATTTCTAGGAAATGTCAGGCTCAGAGTCAAGTTCAGGTCTGTCGGAACCTAAAGGACATCTCTCTGACAGCTCAGAGCCATCAGCCGGACACGTCTCAAGCTGTCATTTACAAAAGATAATTCACAGTGGTCTCTTCCCTGGCAGGGAGGCAGACACGGGGACCCAATTGATCTGTCCACTCCTCCCTGGGGACCAGCAAGGCCAGGTACAAGACCACAAGCATGGAGGACCTTGGAAAGAGACCCACTGGCACTGCCTCCACGTTCGAGAAGGTTCTGAACAAAGCCTTGGAACTTCTGAGAGGGGCTTTCCCGGCCAGAAGCCACCTGTACCCATGCATCTCAGCAGTTAGCTTTTGGGAAGATGTTCAGACAAGCTGATCTTTCTCAGTAATTCATTCAAAAAAATATTAGTCAGAGGCCTAACCTATTGGTACCTTTATCATTTCAAAACATCCTCCAGCCTGGGCCAGCGTGAACAGCTAGACTTGGAGGCCACCATGTTAATACTGGCACCAGGAGAGCACACAGCTTGTTAAATAACAGGGTGTGTGAGTCCTGGCTTGGGGGCAGCACTGATCCAGGCCTTGGAGAGGGACGGATCTCAGGGCTCACCCAAGATTACCTCTAGCTTCAGCGGGGCACCTGAGCTCAGAGAGGGGGACTTGAACTTAGAGAGGGGGACCTGAGCTCAGAGAGATGGGATTCGAACCTGGGTCTTTTGACTGTGTCCAGAATCACCCGTTATCACCTGCCAACCTGCTTGCCCATCTTGGGCTGACTTTATAATCACTGGATGGGAACTGATCCACAAGGAGCAGCCAGGAGGTCTCAGCAGAGACAAAGCTCCGAAGAGGCCTGCTGAGCATCCCCTGGAGGGGTGAGGAGTAAGTTAGAACAGGAGCTGACTCAGACTCTGATACATGAGGCTGCCCTGCTCCACTGTCCTCCATGGACATTCTAGCCAGAAATGGAAATTCACTGGTGTAAATTCCCCCGGCCCAGAGCCTGGCAGTCCAGGTCCCCATAGCCTGGCCCCAACTTGCCTCTCCACCCTTATCTCTCCCGGCTTGCCCTTCAACCAGTCTGTACTTCTAATCTCAGAGATGATCCCACCTGCATTCTCACGCAACTAGAATTCCTCCTCCCTTTCCTGAGGCTTGTGTGTGCCCCACCCATCTGTGCTCCAACCACAGCCCACCCCCTCGGAGTCTTTCCTAAGCAGACCTTCCCCAGGCTCATCCATCTCACACATCAACCTAAAGATGTGAATAAGAAGTGGCAGCTACCTTTACTAAGGCCATACTTCACGCCAGGCCCTCCAGGGGCATTATCACATCGAGTCCTCACAGTGACCCTCTGAGTTGAACATTTGTCAGATGAGGAAACCAAGGCTTGGAGAGTCACCCAGTGTTACACAGCTAGAAGCTGGGACCCAGGACCCACAGCCAGGGCTCCTAACCACTTGGTGCCACCCCTACCCCCACCAGCTCAGCTGCCTCGCTTTGTTAGTTCCTGCTGGTGGGGGTAGGGATTCTGCTGTTTCTGGGTAGGCATTAGGTCTCTGAGGGCCTGGACCACTTGATCCATTTACTCATTAATTTGTCAGGCACCTTCTACCACATCCCCTGGATCTAGCCCTTATCTTGGGCATTAGAAATACAGGCATGGGGACTTCCCTGGTGGTCTGGTGGCTGACTCTGTGCTCCCAATGCAGGGGACCTGGGTTCGATCCCTGGTCAGGGAACTAGATCCCATATGCTACAACTAAGACTGGTGCAGCCAAATAAACAAACAAAACTCAACCATAAGAACTTCCCTGGTGGTCCAGTGATTAAGACTCCACTTTCCAATGCAGGGGCCCCAGATTTGATCCCCAGTTGAGGAACTAGATCCCACATGCCACAACTAAGAGTTCACATACCACAACTAAGACCCCATGCAACCAGATAAAGAAAAAGCAATGTGACTAATATAATAAACAGGAAAAAAAATACAGGCATGAAAAGCCACAGTCTCTCCTCTCAATGTGCCCTAGTCTGTTTGGAAGACAGATCCAGAAAGAGACAAATGACCAAACAACCCAGAACGGGTGATGGGCAGGGCTAGCAATTCCAGGAGAGGGAGCGTCTGGCCAATTTCGCCCCCAAATCGGAACGTGTGACAAATGTGCTCTGTCTTGTGCCCTGAGTGTCTGGTACGGATCACCTTGCATACAGCAGGAACTCTCAGTTGGGGGCGATGGCCAAGGGAGCACAGTGTCAGTGAAAACACCAGAATATCCATCTCGCTGACGTGTCCAATTGGCCATCTGGGGTGCTTTTAGTTTCAACAGACACTTAAAAAAGAGAATGACATGTAGCAGCATGACAACAAAGCCCTTAGGTGACCAGAGCGCCTGGCAGGCAGAAGGGGCAGTTCATACATCTAGGTGACCCCTGTGGAGCCCAGCACTGTGCCTCATGCCAAGAGGAGCCCAATACATATCGCTGATTAATGACAGAACCTTTTGCTGTCTAGGGTCATGCAGCCTTGGATGGTCACGGAGGACACGCTAGACAGACTATTCTAGGTTCTCTTAGTCTGTCTTTCATTCTTCATTTCTCTGCCAGCCAAAAAATGTCAGAGAAACCGTATTTCCTCCCTCCTTGAGTCTGAAGGGCCAGAATGCTTAAACCTGATCAGAAACTCATGAGAAGCTGCAGCAGCCCAATGAGGAAAAGTTTCGCCTCTGGATCACCTGTTTCCCTTTCCTCACCCAAAACAAGTGTCCAGAGTACACAGTGAAGCAAACAGCAGGGGCCCAGACCCTATGGGACAAGGTCATGAGCTTTTCCTCCAACTCCAAACCCTTACTCTGCCTCCCTCTGACCCCCTGGAGTCCTGAGCCAGATCCCCTGCCAGGCAGATGGCCCAGTAGATAGAAAAATGTTTCTGCTGTGGTTGCCCCCCCTCCCCACCTTTGCCTACTTCTTCCTCTAGGTCATCTTCCCAGGCTTGCTACAGGGTACTCCTGAGCTCAGCCCAGCAAAGAGGGGAGATCTGGGGCAGTTTCGGCAAAAGCTCTCAGGAAGGAGCTAGGGCTAGGCCCCAGTATCCTGCACTCTGGGCTGCGTTCCCCAGGACTCTGCTCCCTGAGTGGGCTATAGTTGATATCTAGGCTCTCATCCCAGGGCAGGCAGTATGAGGTCACCTGGCAAGGGAAGGGGGAGAGAGCCTGACTGCTAGAGTGACGTTTCCTCCAGGCCCTTCACCCACTCTACCCTGCAATGTGGCCAGGACCCCAGGAGGTAGAGGCTTCTTCCTAATCAATTACCCAAGCCTCCTGCCTCAAGGATCAGGCCAGTTCTTGGTAGTGGCTGACACAACCCTCCTAGGCTGTGCTCTTTGGTCCCTCCAGCCAAAGGACCATCAACCTAAGCAGTGGCGTTCTCTCTGCCACTAGCTTCTCTTTATGTGTCTTTGATCCAAGGATTTCTGTCCCCAAGAGTGCAGGGCCTCCCAAGTGTCTTCAGGGAACCCAAGTCCTTTATCAAACTCAGAGCGCTGGAGCCTGGTTGTCACATTCTGTGCACTTTGGGCGCCGCATCAGAAGCTCTCCAGATCTCTACTTCCCTTGCTGCAGACCATCAAAAGGTCCCAGCTCATCACCTAACCTGGTGCCCTGGAATCTGTCCTTCTACGCATGCGCCCATCACTGTCCAAGTTCATGCCAAGGTCATGCCTCGATTTCCCTCTTCCAGAGGGGACTCCTTTTTCCGTGAGCCCTGTTTGGTCTCTTCCTGCGCCCTGGACTTGCCCGTCTGTCCCCTTATCTCCTCCCGTGGCTATCCCCAGATCCTCTCCCGGCCCTCGTCGCAGACAGGTAGCTTCCCAAGTGAAAACCCCCAGCCCGTCAGGGGGCTCACCGCCTCCGTTCTTGTAGCAGAGATAGGGGAAGCGCCACACGTTGGCCAGATCTACTGCGAAGCCGACCACCGACAGCAGGAAGTCGATCTTCTTGCCCCAGGTCTCCCGGGGCTGCTCATCGCCGTCGCGGGACGCCAGGAGGCACTGGACGCCGTTGCGCTCTTTCACCACCAAGACTTCTTTGCGCTTCCGCGGGGGCTGCTCCGACCCCGGGCCCGCCCCGCCGTTCTCCGGCTGCACCTGTGGGTTCATCCGCGCCAGAAGCATGGGTGCGGCTGGTGAGAGGACCGTCAGGAATACTAGGAGTACGCAGAGGCTCTGCTGGGATCAAAGGAAACGATGTGATCATTGGGCCATTCCACCCTGCCCGCGGTCTCCCGGGAGCGCCGGGATACTGTGGTTGGCGCGCGCTGAGCGGACGCAGGGTGCCCAGAAAAGGCGCGCGTCTGTTGGAAAAATTTGGAAGCAGAGGTAGTGGCGCGCCGGACTGGGACGGAACTTATACGTGGAGACCGCCCCTGCAGCCCTTGGGATCTTTCTTGGGACCCCGGGCGCTTCCCTCATTCGCCCGCTCCCTCTTGCCCCCAAAAGACGAGGTTTGGACACGCCCAGGCAGAGGTTTCCCGGGGCGGTGACTTGACCTGGTGCAGCTTTCTGCCCCCTACCCTCAGCTTGGGTCTGCGCCACGTCCAACAGCACCAGGAGCCTCCCCGGACACTTATTACCTCTGCCCTTCAAACTCGCTGGCACCCTAGCTCTGCGCATCCCAGCCTGGGCCTCCTTGGCACACCTAGTCCGGTCCCGCGCGCAGGGCGCACTCACGTGTCCGGCAGCAACGGGATCCCGGGTGCCGTGCGCCCTGCCTGCCCGCCCGGGACCCGCCTCGCCTCGCCAGGCTGTGGGGCGCGGGCTGGGGCTGGGCTCCGCCGTGTGGCGCTCGGGCGCGGCCGGAGGAGCGCTGAATGCGCGGGGCGGCCGGCGGGGCGCGGGTCTGCTGGTTCTGACTGTGCTGGGCGGGGGCCGGGCTGGTAATGTAGCCTGCGCCCCAGGTAACGCGCCGATTGCATTAACCCAGCGCCGGGCCCGCTCTGTCTGGAGCCTGTTAGCGCTAATGGAGACTGACAGCGCGGCCGGGGATGGGCATGGGCGGGGGCGCGGCGCGGGCTCGGCGGACTGCAAGAGCCCCGCTCCCGGCGACTCGCCGGACCAGGGCGCCCACTGCCTTTCCTGCACGCACTGGGACACCAGACTCAGCTCCTGGGGGCAATAGGCTCTGACCTTCGACTATAGGAAGAGAGCGAGACTCTCGGAACTAAGATCTGAGTTTGAGAGGGAACAGGGAGAAAACTGGGGAGTGCAATGGCGGTTCAGTATCAGTTCTGTCATCCGCTGCAGGCCACGGTAAGCTACCTGGCCAGAGTTTCTCCATCAACAAGAAGGGAATGTTCTGTTCAGTGCCTAGGAAGGTACACTGAGGGCTGGTAGGCCATGGGGTGGGTTTTGTTTAGCTTGTTCGGATTGAAAGGTCACAATGGGGCGCTTACTCCTATATCTGTTTGTTATGGGCAGGCTAGCAAGGCATTTGAGGTTCTGACCCCTATTACTTGAGGCTTAGAATTGCTATTCATTCACTTATTTACCCATTCGTGCACCCATTTGCTCACGTGTTCCTACATATGCCTGTTAAGTGCCAGAGACTGTTCTAGGCTCTTGAGATACATTAGTGGACAACTCTGTCAAAAATCCATGACATGGGACTTCCCTGGTGATCCAGTTGTTAAGACTGTGCTGCAGGGGGACTGGTTCGATCCCTGATGGGGAAACTAAGAGTCTTCCCAGGTGGCTCAGTGGTAAAGAATCCACCTGCCAATGCAGGAGACACAGGAGATGCGGGTTCAATCCCTGGGTTGGGAAGATCCCCTGGAGAAGGAAATGAATGGAAACCCAGTATTCTTGCCTGGGAAATTCCATAGACAGAGGGGCCTGGTAGGCTACAGTCCATAGGACTGCAGTCCAAACAACTGAAGTGACTTAACACGCAGGAGAGTGTTTAGAGCATTTTCATTAAGGTGACCAACATGACAGTTGTCCTCTGTGAAGGATGCAGAGAGAAGAGAAAGGGGAAGAGAGTAGGGTGGTGGATCTGCCCTGGCCTTCTGGAGGCTAATGGTTGGAGGCAGAAGGTCAGGGGAAGGAGGAGGTTTCAGGAGGAAAGCCTGGGACCACACGCACCAGCGACGTTCATCTCCTCTGACCCCTGGACCATTCTGACAAGACTGTGAGAAAAGTAGGATTGGAACCATCATCCCATTTGGGGGGCCAGGAAACTGCAGCTCACGCGTGGGAAGTGACAGAATTGAAATGAGAACCCAGGTCTCCTGGCTCCTGGCCCCTGTCTCCTCCACTAGCTTATGGATGGAGACACTCAGAAACTCACTAGGAGTCACACTGCCCTCCTGCCTGCTACCCTGTGTCTCATCCAAGCGATCCTGAGGATCCCACCTTAAAACATTCTGTGAAGCCCCATTCCCACTGCTGAAGCATCCCCACAGAGGGTCCCACCCATCACCTTTCGCTGCAGCAGCCTCCTAGCCGGTCATCCCGTGTCCAGTATCTTTCCAGCCACATGATATTCACCAGCTGCCAGAGCATTTTCTAAAACTCATCTGATCACCTCACTCTTCAGCCTAAAACTCCTCTCAGAGACAACAACACATCAGTGTGATTTAATTAACCCCGGATTTGAAGTAATTTTATTTTCTTTTTTATACTTCTCTTTATTTGCCAACTTTTCTACAATGAGCCTTTGATACTTATGCAATCAGAAAAATATAACCCATGATTTCTTAAAATCTTCCCATCTTTCCAAGATAATATCAAAACACCTTCTGCAATAGAGACAAGATTCTGCCTGCCTATTTAACCAAATCTCTTGCTATTCTAACCTCTCTGTATTCTTTTAAAATTCCTTTACCACCTCCAAAATATGCTTTATTCTCAAGGAACAAGAGAAGTCAACTACCAGCGATTCCTTGGATACCTTGTGCGTTTTTATACCTCTGGATTTTTAAAAAGGCTTTCCGTCTTCCTCTTGTCTATCTGGAGAACTCCTATTCATCCTTCAAAACCTCAGGTGTCACCTCCACTGTAAAACCTTCCCTGATAACTACCTCCCACAAGAGAGTAAATTCCTCCTTTATATTGTTTTGTATATTTGTCTAGAACTTTCTCTCCATGACTTCCCTACTAGGGATAAAGACAGTACCTGATATATCCTGTTACATAGCTTACACTCCAGAAATATGAACAGAACGGAACTAGGAGAGATTTCAATCGTTGGTTGGATTTGGTGTCTTTTTGGTTGGGGCTTTTTTCTCTTGGATTCTACCAGAAACAGAACCTGAAATAAATAATTGAGTTCAAGTAGTTTATTTAGGGGGGCTTCCCTGGTAGCTCATATGGTAAAGAATCCACCTGCAGTGCAGGAGACCTGGGTTTGATCCCTGGGTTGGGAAGATCCCCTGGAGAAGGGAACAGCTACCCACTCCAGTATTCTGGCCTGGAGAACTCCATGGACAGAGGAGCCTGGCGGGCTACAGTTCACTGGGTCACAAAGAGTTGGACGTGACCGAGTGAGATGATCCTGGAAACAGTGGTAGAGGACAGGGGAGGTAAGAAAGAGAAGGAAACCAATAGAGGGGGCCTTAAGAAGTAGTCACTGCTGTGGGCAGCTGGTGGTCAGTCCTGCTGGAAACCTCTGGGCCAGAGGTATCTCAGATCTGTCCCATCCCTGGGCAAGAAAGCTGGAGTATTTATCCATGAAGACTGCTCCCAGGGTGCTAACTTACCAGCATTTCCATCCTGCCTGGTGCGTGGGCTGATCAAACTCTTGTTGCCAGAAAAAGGCTCCCATTAGAGTCCCAGGTTCGGGCAGAAGGAGGCTGGTGGTTGGGTCTATGTTGGCAAGAAGAGTGGATTACAAGGGGTGTGGGCAGGCCCTGGAGTGTCCCCTACAGAGATGAAGGGAGACACTGCCCCTCCCGCCCCCCCCCACACACACATGCATATCATTGGATGTGCATTGGAGGGCCTGACAGCAAAACTTGAGGGTTCCACCTTGTGGTTTCATAGACCCCTGGAGACTAGCCTGAGGCTGGGCTGAAGGGGAAAATGTCTCTCTCCATCTGGGGACCAGACTCTCTGCCTTCAGATCCAAGAGCCATGGGGCCATGTGGCTTCTCTCTGTGCGCTGCCTCCTGCCCCTCCAGGTTGCCTGAGGGTAAGTGGGGGGGCAGATGGCTGGAGCATTATCAGAGCTAACGTGATCCTTGGGGAGGCGTCACTTCCACTTACCACGACACTTAGTGACACAGGCCATGGGCAAGGTGATGGCTGGTGCTGTTGGCCCAGCTCTGGCCATCTCCCCTCAGACACCAAGACCCTGACACGCAAAGGCTGGCCTGTAGGATATTGGGAATCCAAGCAACTCAGTCCTGGAAGTGTCCTGAAGATAGTGTCAGAGCCTGCACCTCCACTGCACTGATGGGGAAAATGAGGTCAGGGAGGAGGAGAAGTTCCCTGTACATTTCCTCCTTTCCTTCTTTCCTCTCTTTTTTCTTTCTTCCTTCATTCCTATTTCTTTCTTTCTGTTTCTTTATTTTGTTTTTCTTTTGATCAGGGGCATTAGACGTATGTTCTGACCACTGACCTGCCCTGGATGATTGGTATATGTTAAACTGCATTTCCAGACAGCAAAAAAGTGCCCTCAATAAAAGACCCCGGTGAGCTGAAGTCAGCCTCCTCCAGGATCTCTCCCTCTAAAGCCTCCCAGATGTCCTCGAGGCTTCCAACCTACTCAGATGGTCAGTCCTTTCTCTCTTCTCTGTGGAGCTCCTACCCGACCTGGGACCACATCCAGGCACTGGCACTAAAGAGCACCTGTCATTGATGATGGATACATCCATTAACATCGCCTGCCTGGATCCAACCACAGAGCAACATCTCCACATGGGCAACAAAAGACACCTGGAACCCCTGTGTCAAAGACAGAATTCCTGACCTCCCCGTGTTTACATGCACACACACCTCCATTATTCCAAGTGATGGCATCGTCTTCCTTGTAGATCCTCAAAGGCCAAAAACCTTAGAGTCCTCTTTCTCATACTCCCACAACCAATCCTACTGCAAACTCTCTGGGCTGTATAAATCGTTACCCTCTCCCCGTCTTCAGGGTCACCACCCTGCTTCCAGCTGTGTCATCCCTCACC